AAAAAAAAAAAAAAAAAAAAAGGACATTGCTTCCTAATGAAAACAGCAGTTGGCTGTAGCATCAGTTAGAATACATGGATCCCTTATGAAGCAAATGTGATGGTCTTCATTAGAGACCTGGCAGATATTCCTGCCAGGGATACTTATGTTCTAATTTGTGCTAGTCAAATATAACATTCCAGAGAGACCTGCTCTTGGATAGTTAAAGGGATCTTAACAATACATTGCTCTGGGTTCCCCTCCCATTAAAATACTGGAAGTAGCATTAGCAAAACGAAGCGATGAGCAGAAAGCAATATTGTTTGCATCGTCTATAAACTTTGAGGAATAAGACGAGGAGACTGCATAGTAAAAGCTAAGTCTGAAAGCACTCCTGTGACCTTGAGTGCATTTGCTTTGATCTTATAAGTAAAGGCACTGGGCTTATTCTGAAGGAAGGAAACTGGTCTCCATTTTCACAAAATAATATCTCTTTCATTGCGCAAGGGATCAAGGATGCAGTATTAAGAAGTTTAGAAATGAAATTAAAAGCCAACATGATGCATCTCAACTAACTATTGTACCAATAAGATGCACTGTGCAAAAAAAAAAAATGCTATTAAATGCGTTCCTATAAACTGTACATTGCAGGTTCTGTATTCTGGCCCCATAGTATTTTGCAGAAAATAATCCAACAAAAAGGACGGTTTCGCTTGATACCCTATCAGAAGAGATGTTCTAACCTTGCTTGGCTTTCAGTTGGCTTAAGAAAGCACAACTAAGGGTCCACAACAGCTATTATGGACACTTCTTAAACATGTGGGTGGAACCTGCAGTTGCCTCTTTGTCTGGCCTTTCAGCGCACAGAAGCTGGATGTGTTGATGTGCATTCAGAAAAGGTTTGTCTCTCTGAAGAAAGCCCAACTTCTGCAGTGCTTCATCCCGTGTAGATTTTTGAGCATTGGACCAAAGTCTTACAGCGTCCTTTGCTGGTTTTTTGGCAGGAGCAGAGTTGTCGAGGTGGTGCAGGAAACGCAAGCGAAGTTCCTGAACGTTGACTCCTGACTTCAGTATGGTGTCAAACTTCTTTAAGTGGGTGGGGTGAGAGTTGGCTGATCTAGGAGGAGGTTTAGCTCGAGGACAATGAAGATCAGACCTTCTCCAAGTGATTTCATCAGACTCCTCTGAATGGGACTTGATCATTTTACTTTTAGAAACTGCTGGGAAGGCACCAAGTTTCAGCGGGGTGTGCTCCACAAATTTACTTTGTTGCTGCATGCTGCAGATGACATTATGCTGGCATTGGTCCCGAGAACCTGTACATACAATTGACATGAGGTCAGGTTATTAGAAGTACAAAAAAAAAAGGAGGCTATAGGAAACAGAGAGACAGAAGGATGTTTTTAAATTATTTTATCTAGTCATGGAAGATCACTCATATGTTACATGGCAACTGGGGTGACTGCCATGTAGCTCTTCTGACATGACGTTCGTCAGTAAACATATGCAGCACTAGGGCAGGTGATACTGATTGGAAATATGTAGCTACTGATTTTGTTTATATGTACATAGAGAGGAGTACAAATAGCCCTCGACTTACAACACAACTGAGTCTGCTGTTTTGGTCGTAAGTTGTGAACAAGACCATATGACCATGCCTGATTTTACAACCTTTTTTGTTGTTAAATGAACAATTATTAAATGAACATCACAGTCATTAAGCCAAGCCATTCTTAGCTATGGAGCATTTTCCCCAGAAACTGGAAAACATCAGATTCTGTGTTAAAAAAAAAAAAAAAAGTCATAAATCACAGTCACTTGGTTGTGGGATGCTCTAAATGGCCATAAATGTGTGCCAATGGCCAACTGCCCAAAATGTGGTTGTGTGACCATGGTGGAAGGCCTGGATGTTGGAACTTTGAATCCAGATCGCAAGTGGCTTTTTTCCAAGATCTGTCATAATGTTGAATGATCGCTAAGTGAGGGCCACCATCAGTGAACTGTTGGACAGTATTACTTTATGAGATAATAATAATAATAGTAAAGTTGGAAGGGACCTTGAAGGTCATCTAGTCCAACCCCCTGCTCAGGCAGGAAACCCTATACCATTTCGGACAAATGGCTGTCCAGTCTCTTCTTAAAAACTTCCAGTGTTGGAGCATTCACCGCTTCTGGAGGCAGGTTGTTCCACTGGTTAATTGTTCTCACTGTCAGGAAGTTTC